ACAGGCGGTTTAGGTTGTGTTCAAGACCGTTGTTCTTGTAGGCATATGTTTCATTATAAAAGTTATATGTTCTTGAAACGTTGGGCCACAGGTTAAGTAGTTTATTCCTTTATGAATCCAACAATTGGGGAATTTGTTTGGCCACAATCAGCAAGTTTATAACAATTCGCTGTTTTGGAAATTGCAAAAATTTTATTCAGGCTTTGATGTTTTCAGGGATCCCACCCCAGCAACACTTTTTACATTTGGCCAACCATTGTACCCAAAAGATTTCTTAAAGACACTACAATCAGACATTAAAACAGGCGAAAATACAGATACTGGGCAAATGCCAAAAAGTAGGGGATCGGGGGGTTATGATTGGGCTTTGAAAATATAGTGCCGGTGTTTGGTTTCCTATGTTGTGGGGGGGGACTTGCGAATGAGTGGGTCCGCGAATACGAGTTGGGTGGACCCGTTACGTGATTTTTCTTATGGGGGGTGACACGGCGGGCCACCCTGAACGTTTAATAACTAAATTTGGGTGGAATTTATGGATTATTTCAACGGCCAATTAAGGCAATATAAAAAAAATTATTGATTATCTATTCTTTGTCCAAATGGCATTATCTAAAACACCTAGCAGGGATTAATATAACCGTATTTTCTTTACCCTAAAGTGGGTTTGGGTCATGGGGGGTCTCCGGAGAAGGACTAAACTTTTAATTATGACCTATTTTAATTTGGCGGTTTTTGGACAAAACCCCACCTTGGGAGATGGTCCAAAAATAAATTTGTTGGGCCACTTAAAAACTTTCTTATTCTTGGCCAACGAATTTTTTTTACTTTTTTCAATTTGCTGTATTTGAAAAAAAGCCAATTTTTTATTAAAGCATTTTTGGACCCTCAAGGTCGAAAAGTTTCAGTTGGGGTTTTTTTTTAACGGTTTTTTTGCGGAAAAAGTCGCGTTTTTATGTTGGAATTTGCCATTGGGTTATCAGTAAAAAAATGGGCACCGGGGGAATATAAACCATTTATTATATCGTCCTCCGCTTTATTATATAGTTTTAAGATTGGTCCGATTATTGTTAATTAATCAGGGTTTGTACTTTCAAATTACATTAAAACTCCGTTTTTGGGTTCAATTATTGGTTATTTATTACTCTGTTATTTTTAACCACACCATTATTTGTTAAGCATTTTATATATTTTGCCTAAATACTATGGGGAATTTGTACTGGTGTAGAATTGGGGGGGGGACAAATTATATTTTAACTTAAGTAATTTTTTCCCCTAAAACTATCTGGGGGACAAATACTAAGGTTTGTAGGATTATTTTAGTTGAACTGATAAATTTTTGGAAAGCTGGAAATATCTAGCTGGGATGTTCAATTGGGTGCCTTTTTTTTGTTATGCTTTTTACGAAAATTTTTTTTTACGCTTCCCACTTGGCTCAAGTTATTCCATAAGGATAAATTTTTTGTTGGGCCAAAATTGTTTTCAATTAAATAGGGAATTTAAATGATTATCTTTTAAGATATATTATCTAGGGGAGGCGGGACGAAAAAAACCCCTTAAATCCCACTTTGGAATTTCAAAACAAGGGGTATATTGCGCCACCGTTGTTTTCGTAGTTATGGGCGGGGGGGGGGGACCCGCTTATTAAGATTTTTACCATTTTCAACCATTTTACTATAAATTTAAAGGTATTAAGATCCAAATCCAGTTCACTAGTTCAAATTCTTTCATTGATTTTAATAATTTTGTTAATAATATGCATTTTTTCAAAATTACGGGGGAAACCACTTTGAAAATTTTTTTTCAGTTTCAAATTTTGCTTCGTTATATATAACTTAATTGTATTCTGTTTCTTGTATGTCTCATTTACCTCTACAGCGTGGGGCCTACGTACAAATTGGGATTTGGTGATTAAATTTTAGTTAATAATTTATAATTATATCTTGGCTTAATTTATACATTTAAATAAAACAAAGTTCGCGCCCCCGCAGGCAGTTTTCATTTGGATCCACAAGGGGTAATTTATTACCCTTCCCAAACAATTCCGCATGCAATTCCTCGCGGGGGCGGCGGCCCGGCCCTAACCTTATTCGTTTTAGCATTGGTGGGCGAATAACGGAGGAAAAGGACACCCCCACCGGACTTATTTAAACCCACCTATATTCGGTTTCTCAATAAAATTAAATTCCAACGTTTTTCTGCAAAAAAAAAACCTCCATTTTTCGTAACCTTTTTTCAACTTATTCGGGGCGCCCTTTTTTCAAAATAGGGATGTGAAAAGGAAAAATAAAAAATTTTTCAAAATGGGAAAAAAAGTGCCATTTTGGTTTTTATTTCCTTTTAACAAATCTTTCCCGGAGTGTTTACCCTAAAATAAGGGTTCGATTGGTTGGATATAAGGGGGTTTTCGAATCACCAGAGGGTGGTTGTTATCTGGGTTGGGGGATCAAAAAATAAAGATTTTATAGGGGGGGTCGTTTTTAAGGGAGGGGGTTCAGGAAAACAAAAGCCTGTAAGTGCTAAAAATATTTTTGTCGTGCTATTCCGTGGTATTGTTTTGTTAAATTGCTGGCTTGGGGTGTGTACTTTAAACATAACTAAATTTGTGTCCCCAAAAGTATTATAAAGTTATGGAATGTTAAAGATTTAACTAGAAATTATCTTATTAATCTTTCTATTTTAATTTTATTATATATATTTAAAATTTAAATTACATTCTTTTGATGGTAATACTCTAATTTAATTAATATATTATCATATTAATCATTTCTTATCTTTTTAATATTTTTACTTATTTTGCTATAATTATTTCTTAGCTATATATGTTATCTTATTATTTTATTATCCTTACCTATTTTTGTATTGTAAGGGAACGCAATGTACAAATACCGGGGGGGGGGGAATAACGGGGATTTTTGTATGAGGGGGGATGCTTATTGGTTTTTTTTTTAAGCATTTTACGGAGTTTCGGAAGGCGGGGGTAGGAGGGGTGATCTCTTGGGCCTTCAATGTTTTAGTAATCGAGGAAACAAAACTCCGGGGTGCCGATAAAATTTTTTCTGGATAACTTACTTTTTTTCTTCATCATAAAAAAAGTTCATGAGTGGGGGGGGGGTTTCAACCCTGGATTCATTTTATTAGGCCGAAATAATATTTTTTCAGGTGGGGACCTAGGCCTCCCCTCGAGGAATTTTTTCATGGGGGAAATTAAATATAATTTATGATTTGATATTCCGGTGCCAATCCCCCACAGCCTCTTCTAAAAAAACTAGATTTTACTCAATTAGTCGGATAATCGATGAAAAAAATTTTTTCTTAAAATTTTTTATTTCACTATCAGAGTGAAATTGGGTGGAATTTGAATTTTAATTAAATAATTTGTCAAATTGTTAGTATTTTCTACGCTAAAAAGAGGGGGTTTAACTAAAAAAAGCCATTTGGGGAAATAAACCCCCTCCCCTCTCGGGCACCGATTAGTTTATTATTAAAATGTTGAATAAATAAAATCGGGGGTGTGTACACCCTTGCCTTTTAGATTTGGAAAAAGGCGGGAGATGAACCCGCATGACATAGCCACTACGGGTGGTTCAAAAATCTGGGGGGTTCATCAAAGTAGTTCTTAGTTGGCGCTATTATATAAATAGCGGATTTTTGGATTTTAAACGGTTTCCCACAGTGCGGCAAACATAGTTTTGCCATTATCTGTTTTTGAATTATATATTACATAACATTTTTTTCAGTTTTAGTTTATAGGAGGAATTACTAGTTATAAAAGGAAAAAGGGGGAAAAAGGGTTTCGTTAAAACGGGTCGGATTATAAAGTTAAAACAAAATTATTTGATTGTGACCCCGTAAAGAAAACAAATTTTTAACGGCGGCAGCAACCGCAAGGCTGGGTGTTGGAATTTGGGCAATATTTTATGTGTGCTCGGGGGTGGGGAGGATTTTTGGAAAAGGCTCGGAAGCGGTTAGCAATCCTTTATTTTCTAATCTTGCTTGAAAAAGTTTTGTGGGGGGAACCCCTTGGTATTTTATTATTAATCAATCCCAAATCCAAAAATCTTCTGGGGGACAGGGAGGTGTACATTCTTGGGACCATTGCTATATGTGAATCCCTTGGTGGGGGGGGGGTGGGGGGGGACAATGATGCGGCTTTTGATAAAATTTTTTTTTCTAGGGTCATTTCTTACCTTTGTTATTAATTTTGCTGGATTTTTGCGGGACACCCCACTAAGGTTAAGAATAAGGGTTTCAAATCAGAAACAGGTTTTCTGGGAATGGGGGAGGGGATATGGGGGGGGGGTTCTTTATGAAAAAAAAATATTATCTCGGATATTTACTTTTTTAAGTAGTTGTTTTTGATAGGGAAGGGGGAAGTGGGAGTTGATATCTAATCAGCTGGCTGGGTTTTTGGGTCCATTGGGAAAAAAAATTTTGAAATTGTTTTCTAGTGCCGACATTATTTTGGCCGGGTCAAAAAGTTCAGGCGCTTCTATAATGTGTAAAATTTGTTATTGCGCGAATACCGAAATTTTTCCCAATCGCGGCAAACTGGAAAATCGAGTCTAAAAAATCTTGAATCTTTCTCCTACCATTTTTTGAGCATACCTTGGGGGGTATAACTTTTCCAGGGGCGGTATTTGTTCTATGGGACCATTTAGGGAAAGGGGTTCTGGTGTCTTACAAGGGGAATTTTATTTTATAAGGGTAGGGGGCCTTAGATAGGGGGAAAAAAATTATAACGGGATTCCGGGGATTAATAATACTGTAATAAATTGATTATTAAAAATCCAAAAAAAAGGCGGGGGGGGAAGCAAGGGCGGGCCCTCTAGAGGAAGTTTTGTTTCTCTCAGTGGGGGGAGTGTTTCTCTAGAGAGTGTTCTCTAGAGAGTGTTCTCTAGAGAGTGTTCTCTAGAGAGTGTTCTCTAGAGAGTGTTCTCTAGAGAGTGTTCTCGGACAACTTTGTTAAAGAATGGGTAGCAAATGAGTTTGTAGTGGACACAATGCACTATGCAGATACCGTGAGTCCAGGTAGCCTAGAGTCTGATTCTACAGAATCGAACTTCAGGGCGTGTCAAACTTTAGCGCGTGTCAAACTCAAGTACGTGTACCATATTTGACTTACGATGATCAAATTTTGATATCTTTGTAAATGAATATTTATCAAATATATATCTGAATAAGTCTGAGTTTATTTAGATAAACGCGGAAATATTTCCAGAAAAGTGTAATTTGTATAAAAGAGAATAAAAGCACCCGACTGTTGTACTTCATATAAATTGTTACAGGTCACGCAATATTATAGCGTATTATAGCTCAATATAGCGTAATATAGCACAATATAGCGTGATACAATTAACTATGAAGTTGAATGAAATGACGATTGTTCGTAATATTAGCCGCATAGAATATGTCCTATGTTTATTATGTCTTTTAGCAGATAGACCGTTGAACAACTGATACGACTATTAACAAACTAACAAGTAATTAATTATAATAACTTAATAACTAACTATTATAGTGTTCAATGTTATTGCCCGATTAGTCCTCTGATGATGTGGGTGTATTAATGTCCCCTGATGGGGGGGGGGGGGGGGGCGCTGATTGTTACCATCCGTCACATAACAAGGAATATACAGGTCTTCTCAGTCCTTATTTTGTTACATAGTTAGTTACCTGTATTGTTACCTGTATAACATTGATGATGATAATTGAATTGTCTCAATAAAAATAACCTGGTTAATATTTGCAGGCAGAGAACGTTATCCTATCGTCCAGTGGGGTGGTAAAGCTGTGCGACTACGGCAGTGCGACTACCAAAGCTGTGCGGCCCACCGAGGATTGGTCGCATCAACAGCGAGCCATTCTCGAGGATGAGGTTTATATTATAATAATTAACCCTTTTTTTAATCGTCTGATTTTTCCAATCAGTTTTATTTCTTTACACGATACTATCTACTTGTATCAGGAAACATTATTCCTTAGAAACTGGATGACTGTGATACCCGCTCCAATTTTAAGACCATTTTCATATGATCTTCTTATAATGGTTGTTCGTTTAAAACTTTTTTTTAATCTGTTTACTGACAGATGTTTTTCAATACAGAAAGTTTTCTGCCTCTTACCTTTACTTGGAAACTGCCGAAAAAATGTTTATTTAAGAAACTGTTCGTAACCGCGGGGTTTGGGGAATGAACACATCCGCGGTAAATGTTTGTTCGCATAATGATTGTTAAGCCCTCTTTTGGTGGAAAGAAATGGCCGTGGTGAATCGGGGTTAACGGTAAATCTGGGTTTTAGTGTACTTATATTTTGTTAACAACCGCTGAAAAACACAGCCCACACTGTTTTATAAGTTAACGAGTAAGATGTAAAAAATGATAGATAGTAACACAAGTAACATGGGTACAGACTACAGATGCAGTATTGTAACTGCTAGATTACGGTATCAAATATCGAGTTACAATTTAACATGTGCAAAATAGTATGAAGTATGAACTGTTATTAGTTAGATTTCAACAAACGGACTCTCCGGCCTCCGCAAAAACAAATTTCTGGTCCGTCTAACCTCGACTAAATCTGTTCAGTTCTGGCTGAATTCTCGAGCAATTGATAACCGCTCTTTTTATTTTATTGTTTTTCCTTGAAAGCAGAATGACAGTACGTGATCTCATAGTTTCAGATATTTTTGTACGTGATGTAAATGGTACGAGTACTCGAGATTTAGAAAATAACACAATAAGTTTTAATTAACTTTGTTATACTTCCTTGGCATCTAACATAATATGTAATTGAAGTTCCACTTCACTGTTAAAAAGTTAACACTCTTTATTTACATACCACATTATACAACATGATACACAGCATCACTGTTAACTAACATTAAGACAGTATCAAATAACCCAGGTGCAATGCAGCACAACCCCCTGTTACCGCGCTCCCGAGATGATCGACTACTACTCCAACCACGAGATTGGTACAAAATCAGACGTATGGGCCCTGGGGTGTTTTCTTTACTTCATATGTTACTTTGACCTGCCGTATGATGATAATAAGCTGGCGATTGTGAATGCCAAGTATAAGACACCCAACGAACATTTGTTGATGTTCGCTCCCTTCCTCCCGGTCATTCGTAAGTTAGAGATTAAGTTACAAGCTTTTAACATTATTATTATTAAAGCGTTGCAACGTGTCAAATCTATCTTTTAGTTCGATTCACCGGAATGATTTTGCTAAATTAACTCTCCTTTAATTCCAGGAAGTGTTTTTAAAACAAATCCTGATGCCAGACCGTCCGTGTCGCAGATAATATGTCTGCTGGATAATATTGGCAAAGATAAAGGACTCGATCCTAACAAACCACCCTTCGTAAGTCGTACTTCCGTTTATAATATTTATTAGTGTTTTGATTACTTACAACTTATTTTTGCAATAGTTACTAGTTAGTATCCGTCAATAGAAAAATCGATAGTAAAGATCGTAGCAACTAGTTAACCAGGCTGCAAAACAATTTCAGGAAGATTTCAGACGCAGAATATCAGTAAGCGCAGCCCCGACCATCCCAACTGAACCGATCCAACAGGGTATGTTTATGGTATTTTCACAACCATATGGCATATTTTTAATTATCTTGTATTAGCGAAATCCTTGTTGCTACAAGCATTTAAGAATTAGAGAGTGTACTGATAAAGTGAATTTGTGATAGGAAGCAATGTGTTGGTATTTATAATCTTTACTTATCGGTAAAATAATACCACACCATGTAAGATTATGTGAACAGATGGCCCACGGGGTCTACTTAAGCTATTGCTAGTTTTGATTTATCTTCAGCATCAAGAGCAACATCCATGTGGCGCTTTGCTTGTCACAAATACGCGCGCGCGCAGTGAACATACATGAAATTATTATTGGCTAAGTCGGTATACCCAGCACTGGTTGGAAAGTGGGGATTACCGAATAAAGGCGATCTTACTTAGTTTCCGCATTCCAAATAGATGCTGTCGGCACTTGAAATATCAATACAAGTGACCCTTCAATGATCGATTCAAAGCACGATTCGTCATTAGTGGCTGATTATGTAATGTAAACTTTCTAACAATATAAAACAACAAAGATACTTTTTGCACAATAACACGAAAGTTATTATTTCCAGGAAACAACAAGTCATCCTGGATTGGATATCTGAAAGGTGGGGCGGAAAACATTTTGAAGGAAGCAAAGTCCGCATCAGAAAAAGTCGTTGGAGCAGTTGTGCAAGCTTCAAGGTTTGTTCAGCAATTGTATTAAGTTCACAAAACTTCAGCGTGACATATAACTTTAAATCTTAAAACCAACTGGGCCAATAGCCCGAAGTCAGTGAAAACTAATGACCTGGTGCCGCAGTATGTATAATAGCGATAAGATAGACGAGGGACAGCTCATAGTTACCCAAGTAACGAGTCGAGTCATGGCTATCTCGTTCCCTGATCCTAGTACCATTGAGACTGTAGAGGAGATGGTCAGGCAAAGATATGCAAACTCTGCTTACTTTATTAATCTCACTGAAAACGATTATATGAAAGAGAGTTTCGGCGGAAGGGTCAGTACTAAATTTTACATTTATTTACAACCAATAAAAACCCCTTTTGTGTTTCCTTAATCGTATGATAATAAGCCCACAATAACTTCTTATTGTACCAAATAGTTTGAAATTTAAGACTTAATCTCCGTTCAGATGCTGAACGCTGGATGGAACCCACAATTCCCACCAGCCATGAAGGCCTTGTGTCACGTGGTTGATGTCATGGACAGATGGCTTCTTGTTGCTCCTGAGAACATTGTCATCGTTCATTGTCCAGTAAGATTTCTTTCTTTCAATTCTCGATAAAAGTTAAAACTCATTATGTTAATCGCTACCATAATAAATTAGGGATAAAATCGATTGGCCGAAATAGCTGCAAAGGGCATGGTTGAATAATATTCTTCATTGGTGTACCAACTATTAATGAGTGTTTTGAAATCCCATATGCACGACTCTTAATAACGGGCACGGGAAATGTAGTTGGAACATTTTGTGCTTCTATTTCGTCACCTACGGTAATTGATAGGCAAATTTATTTTCCAGAATGGAACTGGAAACACCGCCCTACTACTAGCAACATATTTCCTGGCATGTGGTCTGTACAAATCGTCTGTGTCGGCTCTTCAGTACTACGCTAACTGCCGCTACATGGCTAATCCCAGCTCTGGGGGTATCATCAGTGCTAGTCAGAAACGGTGGGTACTGGCAATCTTATATTTATACGTAATTACATATTGAGCATTTGAGCATGTTCAACAAAATTATTATTATCACTCCATTTTAAAAGCTCCGTCTATAATTGTCGAGGTAGAAGTTCAATTAATAAAAGTTGGTCCTGACAATTTTGTACTCTAGGTACATTTTAAGTTCAAGTTTCGAGCTAGAAATTAAATGAAATATTAGTAAACCTTTGTGATATTCCAGGTACGTGGAGTACGTAGAGTCAATGCTGTACAACACCACTCTTCAAACTCACACCAGCACTGTTATACTTGTTGACCTCTCCCTTTCCTCCGTCCCTCTCTTCAGTGTAAACAGGTACAGTATTTAACAGTATATTATATTGTGAGGGGACCGTAATAATATGTTACAAAATATGTAATGGTTTATCCCTTTAAAGATTGTGCTGCTCTAACTATATTAGACGGCGGCTCCAGGAGCCGAATGAAAGGTAGGAGCACAACCGACTATTAGTCCCAAAATAGATTCAGCCACCTGATGACCTCACAGGCTACATATCCAGTGCCGCTCTCAAATTGATTCGGTAATGTCCACTTTTTATTTACAGGTCGAACTGCAAACCCTTTCTGGAGGTGTTTGAAAACGGAAAGAAGATTTTATCAACTCTGCGAGAACCTGATGTCATGAGGTAAATAGACCTGCAAAATGGTGATTGGTATAATTATATTGGCATGATGAGTTGTTCACGATGGTCGATTGTATGAAATTAGTAAGATCGAGCTTCCGGGTGAAGAATAACTGATTATAATATAAAGATGTTTATTGTTTACAAGTAACTACACATCACTTATTCCAGGACGTACTCACCAGAAGACGGGGTGATAGACTTGTCTATAAACATGGGAGTTAGTGGAGATATCAGAGTAGTCGTGTACCACGCGCGCAACTTTATCGGAGGAAAAATGTCTGCCATCAAGATGTTCCAAATCTGTTTCAATACTTCCTTTTTGGATCCGGAGTGCGCTTCTTTGAGACTGCCTAAGTATGTCTCCTTTCATTGTTATTTTGGAATTTCCTGTAAACATTTGACAGGTTTTTGATGAGGAATGTTTCGGATATAAAATGGAATGTAGAAACTATGCAACTCTTTTCAGGTCCCGACTGGATGGAATAGGACGAAACGAATCTAAATTTGAGGAAACCTTCGTCGTTTCAATATCGTTATCAGTTCAAGGGAACAGCCCGTCACGTGACAAACCGTACAATATAAACACCTCGTCCCTGGGTATAAAACCGCCGGTGTGTTGTAGCAATAATGAGGAATTCAATAGGATCATGAGCAAGACAGCCGACAAAGGTAAATTTTCAAATATATCACAATACTGTTCCTTAGTTTGTTTCCTACAGTATTTAAGATATTTTATTTATGAAGATTCTCCCTGATCAGACCACCACCATACCTGATTTTTGCATTATAATCGGGGAGATCTAGTGGTTTTGTTTTGTTTCATGTTTTTGTTATTCGTGCCCACCATTTATACCTTTAAAGGACCCCAATTTATTATAGATAGCAAATAAAGTTGTATGATATTTGTCGCTGGATTCAAAAATGTATTAATAGAATTATGTGACATTGTCGGTTATTTTTGCAGGATTTAAAAAGGCGGACTCTCGACATTCCAGCGTGTCAAGTGTAAATGCTAAGACAAAACCTAAGGATATCGTCTATGAAGATGAACTGGAAGATTCTTTCGATGAATATGAAAATAGTCAAACGTGAGTCCTTGCATTCTGAGTCCAAGATTGCATTTAAATATAAGATGTATATTCAAATATTCGTGTACTCCTTTTATATTTATAATATAATAATTAAATAGGCGGGCATATGAACCGTTTCATGAATTGTAGAATTGTAGAAAACAATACCAATCATCATTGATGATAGGTATTGTTTTCTACATTTTATCATGAAACAGCTCGTATACCCGCCTATTTGAGTGTATCTCTTTGTTTGAAATATAATGCTCCTGTTTATTTGCAGTTGAGCATTCCTTGGGAAACCAAGCAACAACTAATTATTAATATAATAATTATATTATATTAATATTTTATGATTGATACGTCAAATTATTTGATAAAGTATACAAATAAAACTCAAAAATCTATGAACTCCAATCCTTCAAAAATTACAGTGAAGACAAATTGATCAACCTGATGGGAAGTGTAGCCGAAGACAAACCAACCCCAATGTCTGATCCAATTTCAAGAAAATCTCCCAGCAAACACGAGAATAACGTTTTACTGGACTTCCTCGCTCCCTCTGCAACTACCAGTATGGTTCAGAGTAACAGTGCCCCAAACTTAGCTGAGATGGGAGGTAAAGCTCCGGCCAGACCATCTGCACCTGGTAAGGACTGAGTATATTTCGTGGTTTCTCCTATTTTTTTGAAATCTGAGTCAGTAAATTCAGTCTTCGGGTGTAATTGAACACTGTTCAATTACTGTTATATTTATTATATAATTTAAAATCAAAGATTTATGTGGACTTCGTCGACTGATTTATTCTTGAGGACGTTCCCCACCAGTTGCTATAACAAAACAATTTTCAGCGCAAACTGTCTCGTCTAATAATGACGATTTCTCGAACTTCTTCGCCGCAGCTCCAGCTCCAGCTCCAGTACCCTCAGCACCTAAAGCCGCCCCAAGTCCCGGGCACCAACGTAACCAGAGCATTAATCTCATGGATATAAAGGGTGATGCTGACGATTTGATCGACAGCTTTGATATGCTCGGAAGGCCTAAAGTAGCCGCTCAAGAATCGAAACCTACACCCGCCGTACGTTTTGCTCGAACACTGCCAACAGTTTTTCCTTTCAGTTTGACAGGCTTGAAGCACTCCCCGTATTAATGATTTATAGCTGCACGAACAGCGATGACGATTAATTAATCACTGTCTCATTTACATCTGATTTGTTTTGTTCCCCACAGGCCGCACCAACTATGCAAATGTTTGATCCGTTCGGAGCCAGTTTACCGATGGCCTCGGCACCCCCACAACCAACCATGCAACCACAAGACCCCTTCTTAACCCCCGCTCAACCAAAGTCTCAGAGCTTCACATCTAACCACATTCCTTCTCCTATTCGCCCTCAGAAACTCGGTTAGTTCAGACTCCAGTACAGTTGCAGTATCAAGTATCAAGTTTTCCATCGATATTATTGATAGATTTTAACCAAGAACCGTTAATCTAACATCAAATATCGCCGCTTTTCTGCTTAATGCTTATTCAGTAATAACAAGTTGAGCTCTAAAAGTTAATTTACACGTTCTCTCCACCCTGCAGGTGCTACATCATTAAGTGGGAGCAGCAGTCCGGTCGGAAGCAGATCTCGTAACGTCTCCCCCCGTAACTCACCCAGTCTCAACCGCAAGACTAACGACCCTTTCTCAGACTTCCGTCTGGATTCTAAGACTGCCCAGGTACCATCTCACAACCGTAATGTTTAAAGGTTTATATGATCGAACTTGTTTTGAATTAACAATACATCGCAACTATTGTAAAATGTTTCAATTTATTCAATTTGTTCACGTTTCTAAACCTTACTAAACTACAGATACATTTCGACAAGCCAGCGGCCTCAACCACACCAATGGCTCCGAACCCAACACCCTACCAACAACCCAGACCCACCACCCAATCACATCAGCCTTCCTATTCCTCTCGTCCTAATTATTTCGCTTCAACTCATGCTTCTGGTATGTGGTAATATGTTTCTTAGTCGCGCGCAGCTTGTGTCCAATCATTCTGGACCGCAATAATTTGACATGAAGTTAACTTTAAACTTTGTTATTGAACTACTACACTCTGTTCTGCAAGATTTATCATGCAGCTGCATCTACGAATGCATACTTTCATATTTTTAACGAGTAAAAAGCAATTTTAATGCTAAGTAGCTTTTTAAAGCTTATGTTTACAACTTATAATATGTTTAACAGCCTATAATAATAATGAATAACAATTAACGTTAAAAGCTTTTTATTAAAAGCTTTTTAAATTATTTTTTTTTAATGAAAAAAAATGTTACCGAAATGCAGAGTCGCAGACTCATGTAAAAACTAACCAATCCACATATTCTTTGTGATCACTTGAATTGCATATCTTTAATATTTCACGCTTAAATACCAGACGTTAAGGATAGTCTCAGGACCAACTTGAGATCTTCTGCTGATATATCACTCATCTCCATCAGTCTTGTAAACATCTTTCTTACAGCCTCTTTGAAAACATTTGATCGATCTCTCTCTGGTCCACCTTGATTTATGTTAGAGCTTTCTAATGGAGGCCACTCCTCGGTATAACCTTCCTTATTGCTATAATGGAAATGTCTTTCAACTTCAGTTTTAGAGTTGTCACACTCAGTAAATTTAAGATGTTTTAACGTATATCTTGTGTTTTTATCCATTTCTTCTAGTTTCTTTATGTGCTCTGTGACCTTCTCTACAATAAACAGACGATATTCTTTGTACCCTTGGTATCTTACAATATGGACGTAATTTCCGTGACTTTTATTGGCAACCCTTATGAGGAAATCGAGATGATCTAAAGACAAATTCTCCAGATTTTCAAGCATTCCTTCGAAATTTTGTGAGCTCTGCGCAAGCAAAGACGCCTTCTTTTCGACCAGAGTTTCCAAATATCTGGAATCCTTGTCGTAAATCTTGGCAGCTATTGCTTCTTCCAATAAGTACTTTTCGTCTTCAGCGGTTTTGAGTGATTTGGTTAATTCCAAAAAGAATTCAAAGCACTCTTCTTGAACCCAGTAAACTGTAAGGGTATATGCCATCTTGCTCAAATCTCTGAATGTTTCCCTCGTAATAGACTTAACTCCCCCATAAAATCCTTTCAGTCTGACATAAAATCCTCTTATGAAAATTCGGCAGGCAGTCGATCCGAAATCGTCCATTTCTATCGTGGTTCGATGGTTTTCCTCTATCATTGCCTTTAGGACTGGACTGTTCATAGCCAGCACGATTGAGTTCACCTTCAGTTTCTCCCCATCCTCCAGTATTATCTCTATGTTCCCGTGGCTGTGATGATTAAAGTATTCACAACCAACGTTGTTTGGAAAATTTGACATAGCCTTGTCCTTGCCTTTTGATTTTGCTGACTCAAGGAGATGCGTGAGCCATAAAACAGAAAATAAGTTACTGTACATGTAGTAGTGGTAGTGGTAGAAATATTTCAATACAAATGTGTATTATACATATATTGCTGCAGTCAAATCGAATCAAATGATTGATCTACCGAGTACCGAACTCCACTAATTTAGTTTGACACTGTTGAGTGTTGAAGAAGACTGTCAGTTTATGTTTTGTTTGTCAGGGGGTATGGTTCAAGTTTATACTCTTGTTTAGTTTTATCACATCACAGGTTATTTAACGAAAAACTGGTGTGTGGGCTTAAAGAACACTTCAACTGTCCATGATACACACAAGTATATCTTATTTCGCATACAAAATCAAACCACCAGATGCAGTAATATTGGACTTTACATTTTTCAGATTTACGGCTTACATTTTCAAGCAGCTTAGTAATGGAATCTTTATTCAGGTTCACAACAAATAACTAAATAATTTACACATGCAATAAGATAAGTACACATTTGTTTAGACAATCAAGCTGAAGAATGTTCCTCATAGGTTCAGTATTCGGTAACGAAAAGCCCTGGCAACAGCACACTTCATCTGCTTCAAAAGATGCTTTTGGAGACCTGTTATCAGGACAGAAGTTCACCTCCCACGCCGCCGCTCCTAAAGCAACTCTCATGGAACAAAGGAGAGAAGAACTGGAGAGGACGACAGACCCGGTCAAGCTAAAGGTAGGGTTACGTTCCGTACTCATCTTCATTGAGCTTACGTTTACATCTAGTGCGAGTTTCATGTTTTAAGGTACAATTTGTGATTTCACATTAGGGCTGGGATACAAATTTGCTTATGGTTTTTGCACAGGACCACGGCCCAAAATGGAGGTCAATAGCTGTTAATTACCCAGAAATTCTATCTATTTGGCCTATAAAAACAGTATTCTCTAACGTATTCTCTTGGCAGATAATGGACTGGTTGCGAGGAAAAGAAGGTAATATCCGAGCTCTCCTATCTACGCTGGGTGATGTGTTATGGGACGGTGAAGATAGGTGGCCTAAACCGGGCATGCATCTCATGATAGAACCAAATCAAGTTAAGAAAATGTACAGAAACGCCAGCCGGGTTGTTCACCCTGACAAGGTTCGTTCTGTTTTATTTATTGTTCTGTTTGATTTATTGTTCTACAAGTATTCATTGCTATCCAATCTTCCCTTTCTTATAAATAAATATTTGTTTTATATTATTATGTAGTTATCAATATTGCTTAATTTAAGTTATAGTACACCCCAATTAATACTACACTGCAAGTCTCGATTTACCTAGTCTCGATTTACCTAGTCTCGATTTACCGCAGTTGTTCCCTTTCTTCACAGATTGTAAGAGGTATTTTGTAGTACTACCGATTTTAACTTTCTTCTTCCATATCAGCAAATCGGAACAGACCACGAAGACTTATCTGTAGCAATACAAACTGAGCTAAACGACGCCTACACCGCCTTCGAGGAGGCGGAACTGCAGTAATCATTCAGTGTTCATGCACCAAGTGCCTGGTGGATGTATTTGTGTACCGTGTACCCTGTGTATAGTGTTGTTCAAATCGAGAGAGTCTGGAATGAGAAAACACCAAGTGGAATGTACATAAATAGTGTGTTGAGTCGAATTTAAGTTGGCATCGATTTTGTACCGGCATGGTCTTTTACTAGGCATGGTTTAGACCTAATTTTAAAATTTCTTTTAAATGTGAATCTCTTAATAATGTGTAATTAAATGATAAGAATGAGGTTGCTAGTCAACGATTGATTTGTTTACGATTTTGCATCATAAGTTTTAAATGGAATTATAATAGAATTGGGGAGGCCGAATGATTATGTTATTTGGCGATTTTACCATTTGAGGAAAGGGGAGGATACCTCGTCCCTTTTTGAACTGGCCTTTTCAATTTTAGGTTGTGAAGATAGACCAAGGCAAGGTCGGGGCAATTTTCGTTTGTTCCATTTAAGGTATTTCAGTCAACCAATTTTCCCAGGTCAATATCATTACATATTTCGCATATTAATATACGACATATTTCGAAGGAAAACCACGACATAACAAAATTATTGTTAAATTTTGTTACAAATTAATTTAATTTCACAAATAGTTGATTACAGAATTCCTTTTTAAAAAAATTTTTTCGAAAAAATTTCTTGAAAAAATTTTGCGAATATTTTGATATTTTCATGACATCCGAAATCATGACATCCGAAATCTTGACATCATGTCATGATTTACAAATATCTGAGAAAGTTCACGCATATTTTTACCTGTATTTTACAGGCAAAACTTGACATGAAAAACGTCCCCGCATATTTGATCAGATGAGCGCATATTTGACATGGATCTAAATATCTGACGGGGGATATCATATAAAAAATATCCTTGTGTTTGAAAAATTATATCAAAAAAGTTAAGAATTTTTTAATAAATTTTTCTAGGACTCGCCTGTAGCAGGCTTTGTCCCCCTGGATCGGGCTTTGCCAATTTGGATCATTGTGGGGCCCAAAAATGCCCCATCGGGTGATAAAAACCATGACATATTTCACCCAGATATAATAATATACGACATATTTTTAATGATATTGACCTGGGCCAATTTTTGTATTTTTCTAGTAAATGAGCAGTTTTTTGTGTTCGCGTTATCGTTAATTGACAAGTTACCGATGCGAAGAAATCAATAAAATAATATATAATAAGTTTCAACTCTGCTAGCTGACCCAGTTTATTTAGTTACAATTAGGTAGCGAATACCTGTGCGAAATACCATGATGAGCACATTACAGAGTTATTTTTATTCACATTATGTTTGCATATTTCCTGATAATATCACACTTGATGGGTTGTTTGTCAGAATATTAGAGTAAACGAGTTTAGTGTCAATAAAGGTCTTAGAATTTATGCATTCCTGATCAGCGGACATAAAGCTGAATTTATCAACGTTGAGGACCTGGTTATAAACGGCGGAATTGTGGAAGAGAAATGTGAATTCAAATTGTAACAAACTGTTCTTAATACGATTTATTTTAATATGTCCAATCCAAATGGTTGTGTTTTTTTTGATTTTACGACTTTCTATTTATTAAATATGGTTAAACTAGACTAAGAAAAACGCAGTTAATAAATGATACGAAAGTACGATTTTGTGAAGATCACTCTTCAAATGTTCTCCAGCTTTTTCAGCTAGTATCTAAAATTCTAAACCTTTGCATTTAATGGCAGTTATAAAGGATTCGTAAAGTATAAACTAAAAAACGGGAATATAAATAGTAAAACGAAGCCCTAGAATTCCAAAACAAACTGCTCATAACGATACTAGAAATAAAAAGTTCAACCAGATATTAATAAAACTGATTCTTGTAAAAAGCCCCACACAAAATAACTACTATAAGCTTTGGTTTCCGAAACTTCAAACACAAGAACAGAACATCTATGATCATACTCATGGCTAAAAAGTTAAAATAAACGTGGTAAATACATATTTGTGGTCCTTTAATCACTCAAAAACAAAACATCCTTTTTCCGTGTACTAAAGCAATAGCTATTAATATCAATAAATTCGCTAAAATTCTCTAATTCTAGTCTTTCATTATTTTGAGTAGAACGTGAATCTGAAAGCATTCTTCGTTTTTGTCTATTCAGGTCTAATGTACTTCTTCGCGCGGCTCCTGAAGGTGGAACATGTTATACTTATTGATTCAAACTTGAAACTACAACGTTCTGCAATATCGTCAGAATTTAACTATTGGTTTGTACACATCTTTTCTTGAAGAATAAAAGATAAAGAAATTCCAATATTTACAATGATTAAATAAAATTAAATAGTTTGCGAATGTGTTCTCACCTCATTTCAGTCTTAATGCAGTGATATTCACACCACAGGGCGTTCGGGATCAGGGAGTAATCTTTAATAAGTAGCATCTCACATATAGGCCTAGGAAGACAAAATATTAATATAAGAATAATTTGCCAATGATCAAATCAATATATTGAGAATCAATAATATTACAGTGTTGCTCATCTTAGGAATCTCCATATTCCGTAAAATAGGTCTAATAAATTCAAGTATCGAAAAACTAATTTATTAGTAGATGTGAGTAGTTTACTTACATGCTTGCTATGATAGGGAAATAAGGACCAGCGAATTTCTCCAATAGAATGAACCAGAGAGCACCAATTCCGAGGCCGACTAAGAAGCCGGCACATATTTGAGATTGGGTGTGGTACTTGAGATAATGCCTGGTCGAGGAATGTATGTAATTAGAACTCTCTGTTGAGTAGATTGAGGGGAGTAAATCCAAGTAACCTACATAGCTGTACAGTCTAAATATATTTTAGACTTACTGCAGCTGTTAATTGTTTAAAAAAAGTGTAGCTGGTGCCTGCCAGGCACTGCCTGGTGGTACATATAATATTAATTCATTTCGAGCGGGCCATGATATCGATCTATGAAACAATTCGATCGATCAAGCTAGCTAATTTAATTTATATATAAGACGCGCGAAAAATATATGAGCTGGCAGTGGCCACCCTCATCAGTGAAATTGTCTTCGCGCGTTCCATATTTTACGCATTTTTCGGCAAGATTAACTGGTATTTCGATATTTAAACGGTTTCCACACCAAATTCGCAATGAAACTTTAAGATTAATCATTAAAATTACCTGCTATAGCATACAGCTAATGATACAACGACAGTCAACGCAGCTAAAACGTGTTTCCATATCTTTGCTAGAGGTATAATGAACGTCACTACAGCTTATTCTGCAATTGACGGCTGTGAGCGTTATCAATAATATTATATTGAGAACAAATATGATTTATGCAAATATTTGAATAATGTTATATATTTATCATGAGTTGTTGGTGGCGTATAGCTAAATCGATTTATCTGCATCAAATCAGTATCCCATAACATGATAATGTTTGTAATAATTCTGCTGCTCGAACGAATTTTCTTCAGAAATTTAAAAAATAACCTTATTAGAGAATAAATTTACAAAACAACCGTATTTGCAATTATGCCCGTTAAAAGATGACATTTACCCACCTTACGTAGAAAAGGAGGATAATAAACATAGAGAAATATCCAGCAAATTGGCTGTGTGCGGAGGGCATACCATGTTGACTCCACTGAACACTAGAAGCAGCTGAAAAGTTATAAATTATAGATCATACATTTTTCAATTATAGAAATCGGATCTCTTTGATGTTTTTTTAATCATACTTCTAACTATCTGACGTTAGAACTCCATAAAACACGGTAATATACACCACAGTGTAAACACCAATACTGAACCAACTTACTCAAAGTCATTGTCTGACCAGGTTATCAAAACCCAACATAAAGTGACAAACAGTGTGTCCAGACTATACTGTAGCTGCTACTACAGTGTAGCCGCTACTAGTTACTACAGTGTAATGCTAAACGTCTGTCGTGCCCTGTGTCTCACTAATTTCATCCTGACTTTCGTTCAATTTTCAAATTTCGCCGCCTAGTGAGCTAGAGGTGGTTGGTAAACACATCACGTACCATCTAGCTTGGGTTATAGCCAGAATATCGCCGGAACATAACCCTTCAGTAGATACGAAAATACCTCACTTTTACTCTGAGGGACGGGAATTACACGTGCGCACTCTAAATCTCCCTAATCTAAACCATTAGTTATAATAACTCGTTCTCTCCCCGCTCGGGTAACTACTTTACTCCTGCTTACACCGACTTAAATAAATTATGTACATAAACTGTGCGGCCTCTACTAATGTTTGATGTTGACATGTGGTGCGATGGTCTGTCGACAGGTTGACTCATCCCACAAAGCTACAAACTCAGGGCTATTGAAATATTTCTCTTTCGGACGGAGAATACAATTCGGCTGAGGGAAATTAGTGTCAGATATTGCTTAGGACTGAATCAAAATATCGTGATTATGTCTACGATTTTTTCCTCTGATGATTCACTGCATGACGAACCTCAGACTTCATCTCGGATATTTCCCCGTAGAGCTGGCTCTGATGAAACGTGCCAGAAACACCTCCATTACCTGGGACACCTGGGAAATACAGCCCAGCGCCTAAAATACATCCTCTCAGCTCTCCAATAATCCCACAGTGTTAAAACTGGACAAATCTCATCGTTCCTTCCCAGGTTATTCTACTTCTACCAGGCTCATTTTCCTCCAGATAATTTGTCTAAGCTCAAATGAAATAATGGTAATTACCAGGGATGATGCGAGGTGGTTGGTTGCAACCCACACGTTTACCACATTACCAACTATTCTCTCAACTTACTAAAAATATACGCTGGACACGCTGGACACGCTGGCGCGATCCACTGGGCCAGCATTTCCGCATATTTGTGGTTTACAGACGTGTTCAGTATGCGATAATGTTATTTAAGTATATAATATACATATTTAATAAGTTTACAATGCATGGTGCGCGGGCTGGTTTAAACTTTAATGCAATAAAGCTTCAACAACAATACTCTTCCGTTACAGAACCTGCAGTTGTGTTGATAAAGTCATGCACTGTGCAAATATATATATAATACGGTGGTTCAAAAACACAAACTTTCTTTGGTTTTATTCAGTGTAGGCTCAATCGTTGATCAGTTTAAAAATGGATGTTTACAAAACTAATTTACAAAACCTATCTATAGTTTAGTTTAGTTTAGGCCAGTAGACACTTTACCACAACACACTATTAGCAAACTAAGTTTTTTATCGACAGTAATTTTGAATAAGGAGGAGTTAAACTTTAAAACATTAAGTAAACCTTAACCATTACGTTAACTTTAAAACATAGATTAAATGGATAACTTAAAAGATAACTTTATACCAACTTCTAGCAGGGCGAGGTTCAGCGATAATCCGTTTCAGTACTTGGTTAATCCCCTCGTTTACAAACATTCCCAGGAAGAAGAAAATCTGAGGATAAGAAATACGGTTTATTTATAGAAAGTTGAATTATTTATCGAATTCAGAAGTATAAATTAAAGTCTATATAGTAGATAGAGAATACGATGGGTCATTAGACTTTTCTGTCTTTTATCTTATTCAAGAAACTTAATTAAGTCCTATGCAGCTTGTGACCATAAATAAATCTCTGAATAGTTTAGTCTGATTATAACAGACTCGATGTTCGACTTTAAGGCTTTACAGTAAATAAAAATATCTAAGAAACTTAATTAAGTCTTACGAAAGCTTTTGCCTTTACATAAATTATCTTCGATGTTTAACATAATTTAACCATCAAAAGTTTTAAGTAGTGTGTAAGCTGTTGATGGACAGAGGTACTTAAAAACATTCTTATGAATAAGCTGGCATCACGTAATTGTTAAACTAGTGTCTAACATGCAATGCATGTTTTAACATTAATAGGCTACACTTTCGTCTACAAAACTGTGATCTACTGATCGATTTCGAGAATGTACACTTATAATATATTTAAATGCTTTTGAGCACGATCCTTGAGTGTCGGCCTCTTTAAAAGACATACGCTTATGACATGAGATTATTATTTAAATATGCTTATTACTATAATACTTGAGAATTATTTTAATGACATATACAAAGGTGAGGCATATGTTTTTGACACGTGACGATGATTCTGGAATTTGATTGGTCAATAGGTGAAGCTGATTGGTTAATTGCTGTAACGTGTCAAAAAAGCATGGCTCACCTCCCCACCAGAATCCACATCTATTGACTATAACATATAAACTACGGTATAGTAAAATAATGACTAACCGTAGTGAGATCACGACGGAGCACTATGATAGGAATAAAGCTGATAACCGTAAAACTGGGCAGCAGACTGAACCATGCCAATATCAGTCCAAACAGGTCCCCTGAGAATTAAATCAAGATAAAATTATCCTAATTATGTCATTTTTATGCTATTTTGGTTTTATTGCGGTCGAAACAGCCGGTTTTCTCCAAAATTTACGAATTGTCTCGGTGGTTTAAATTTTAAAATAAACTTAAAAAGATAAAATTATTAAATTCTTCGAACACCCCACGTGAGTTTACGTTGAAAATAAGTAAGGTTTGACGGGATTTAGAGAAAACATGATGATAATTGAGACAACACATACACACACACACACACACACACACACACATATCACATCCTGGTGGGCGTTGACAGGAATTCACTCAATTAGTATCATTTAGTCTGATTATTCTTCAGCTCAATTTTAAGGAAACTGATATCAGTGGAGTACACCGAGAATGCCTGCGCAGGGCACTCTAATAAAAATATTCCACAATACTTCTCTGACAAATCCCAATGGTCCACCGAGTATCATCTGTCGATTTAATCGATAGTCAGTCATTTGTTGATGGTTCAACCACTTTTATTGTCTGTCAATTATTGTCTTTTCTTTACCAAATATTTGCATTTTCCTTCACACAATGCAACTATATGGAATATGTAAGCGTATTGAGTCAGCTTCATTGAGTCAACAGAAAAGAATATCCAAAAGTTACAAAAGATACAGGACTAGCTTTTGATTATATTTCTAATATTTGTCCATAATGTCTGTACTGATATTATAGAAGTGCACAATATTGATATTTTCATACTAATATCTCAATATTATTGTCCATAAATTCTGAGCTGATTTAGCATTGCATCATCTTGATATTTCCGTAATAAGCATATTTTAATGTCGATTGTCGAAGCGTATAATAAATTTTTAAATTCAGTAATTTATCAATTTACTAATCAATATTACAACCCAATCAAATTTATCGCTGCATTACAACTTTACAATAATTCCCCCCTTAATCTTAACTTCCCAAGAGTACGAGGCTGTTATTGGCTAGAACAATCTCGCTCCCCAACAATAAAGCGAGCATTATCAAACGTACATTATCTATTTAATTGTAGAATTGTTTAGCAAGGGTGCTGGTGAACACACTCACACTTATAACCATTTCCTACATACATCTCCGGAGAGAATGGGAGAGCAGAGCCGGAGAGGGAGAGAGAGAGAGAGAGAATGGGAGAGCAGGGTCAGGCTTCTCTTGCTGTAATGGGCCACGGTAAACGGGCCATGGCTTGTAAACGGTTGACCCAAATGTGTAATGTTTACTGTTTACAATGTACACTAATGTATGTAAATATACAAATCTCTCACAGCTAAATTGTGATGGTATAAAGGTATAATAGGGTCTGTTACCGTGACAACCCATGATTCAAAAGACCTAGGTACACTAGGTACACACTAGGAACACACTAGGTACACTAGGTACACACTGGTACACACTAGGTACAGTGTACACACTAGGTACACTATGCCTAACACAACTGTCTGGAGAATTGTGTTGTAACTGGAACCTGTGACAGACCGTATCTTTATATTTGATGTTAGAATGAGAGTGGAAGCACCTGTGACAGACCGTATCTTTATATTTGATGTTAGAATGAGAGTGGAAGCGCCTGTTATCACAACCTCATTGAAAATACAACATGTACACAATCATTAAGGTAGACAAGTCTACTTTATAGTAATACAATCATCTTTTCGAAGACAAGTTTATGCTCGTAAGTGTACACTAAGATTACATTTAGTTAATAGTTAATAAGAGTTAATAGTACTATGTTTACAGTAGATTTATAGTAAGCAAGGGTCGACCAAGGGCAGGATTTGCGACCTAGGCCGAGGAAATTTTGCTTTGATAAAACCGAGGCCGAGGAAAAATCGCTATTCCTCGGTAAAACCGAGGACTCAGACTCGGTCGACCCTTGATAGTAAGATTCTCGATATTTAAGCAGGTACCCCTCCACATTTAACCCTCAATCAAGTTTCCTATCATTCAGCTGAGTCGACCGTCCGACCGAGGAGATCGCATAGATCCAATGGATCCTTAGCTACTCCCTAGACTAGGTTGACAAGGTTTGCTCCAGGTATGCATTATATACTGAAGGCCTAGTTCCCATATATCCACAGTGAATAGTCCAGCTTTATAAACAATACAAAAAGCAGGGCAATCATTGACAGGCAAGTCTAACAGCTAACGTGTTATAATGTACCTTATGTGATATTGTAGGTACCTAAGTACCTTATTGACCGTTAGAACTCCTCCAAGCTTCCAATCCAATGTTGTGTAGTTTATAAACACCCAACAGTGCAATAAGCAGATTGGTTTGGAGTGTTGTTTTATGGTCAACCTGTTATAAATCATTTTCTAACCACGGAATATTAAGCGGAATATTGTCTGTGGGCATGTTGTGAATAAAAGGGTTTATGCCGCTTCAGTGTGAACATTTATTTTTACATTCCATGTGAAAATTAAGCTGATGGCACGTCACAAGCCTTGGTCAAATCGGAATCCATTATTAAACAACTACATATAAATATTCGCACAGCTCAAGTGCTCAATGTTCAATGAACTCATGTTGGTAATGTACAGTAAAACCCTGATTTACTCTTTTCTCCCAAATAGGGGATTTACACGTATTTAATTTAAACAAGATTCAAAACCCCAATTCACCGCGAACCACGATTTACCGCGGATGTTTCCTTTCCCTCAAACTCCGCAGTTATTCAGGGTTTTACTGTACATGTAATTTCCTGGACATACAAGCCACGTTATTTTATAGCGTTTTTAAGATGAAGTTAACTTCTAATCTATATATTATTTTAGAAGTGGTGCATATTATATCTGTTGAGTCAGTGATAAACCAGACAACTAACACAGTCTACCAGAGAACTAACACAGTCTACCAGACAACTAACACAGTCTACCAGACAACTAACACAGTCTACCGGACAACTAACACAGTCTACCAGACAACTAACACAGTCTACCAGACAACTAACACAGTCTACCAGACAACTAACACAGTCTACCAGACAACTAACACAGTCTACCAGACAACTAACACAGTCTACCAGACAACTAACACAGTCTACCAGACAACTAACACAGTCTACCAGACAACTAACACAGTCTACCAGACAACTAACACAGTCTACCAGACAACTAACACAGTCTACCAGACAACTAACACAGTCTACCAGACAACTAACACAGTCTACCAGACAACTAACACAGTCTACCAGACAACTAACACAGTCTACCAGACAACTAACACAGTCTACCAGACAACTAACACAGTCTACCGGACAACTAACACAGTCTACCAGACAACTAACACAGTCTACCAGACAACTAACACAGTCTACCAGACAACTAACACAGTCTACCGGACAACTAACACAGTCTACCAGACAACTAACACAGTCTACCAGACAACTAACACAGTCTACCAGACAACTGACACAGTCTACCAGACAACTAACACAGTCTACCAGAGAACTAACACAGTCTACCAGACAACTAACACAGTCTACCAGACAACTAACACAGTCTACCAGACAACTAACACAGTCTACCAGACAACTAACACAGTCTACCAGACAACTAACACAGTCTACCAGATAACTAACACAGTCTACCAGACAACTAACACAGTCTACCAGACAACTAACACAGTCTACCAGACAACTAACACAGTCTACCGGTCAACTAACACAGTCTACCGGTCAACTAACACAGTCTACCAGACAACTAACACAGTCTACCAGACAACTAACACAGTCTACCAGACAACTAACACAGTCTACCAGATAACTAACACAGTCTACCAGACAACTAACACAGTCTACCAGACAACTAACACAGTCTACCAGACAACTAACACAGTCTACCAGACAACTAACACAGTCTACCAGACAACTAACACAGTCTACCAGACAACTAACACAGTCTACCAGACAACTAACACAGTCTACCAGACAACTAACACAGTCTACCAGACAACTGACACAGTCTACCAGACAACTAACACAGTCTACCAGACAACTAACACAGTCTACCAGACAACTAACACAGTCTACCAGACAACTAACACAGTCTACCAGACAACTAACACAGTCTACCAGACAACTAACACAGTCTACCAGACAACTAACACAGTCTACCAGACAACTAACACAGTCTACCAGACAACTAACACAGTCTACCAGACAACTAACACAGTCTACCAGACAACTAACACAGTCTACCAGACAACTAACACAGTCTACCGGTCAACTAACACAGTCTACCAGACAACTGACACAGTCTACCAGACAACTAACACAGTCTACCAGACAACTAACACAGTCTACCAGACAACTGACACAGTCTACCGACAACTAACACAGTCTACCAGACAACTAACACAGTCTACCAGACAACTAACACAGTCTACCAGACAACTAACACAGTCTACCAGACAACTAACACAGTCTACCAGACAACTAACACAGTCTACCAGACAACTAACACAGTCTACCAGACAACTAACACAGTCTACCAGACAACTAACACAGTCTACCAGACAACTAACACAGTCTACCAGACAACTAACACAGTCTACCAGACAACTAACACAGTCTACCAGACAACTAACACAGTCTACCAGACAACTAACACAGTCTACCAGACAACTAACACAGTCTACCAGACAACTAACACAGTCTACCAGACAACTAACACAGTCTACCAGACAACTAACACAGTCTACCAGACAACTAACACAGTCTACCAGACAACTAACACAGTCTACCAGACAACTAACACAGTCTACCAGACAACTAACACAGTCTACCAGACAACTAACACAGTCTACCAGACAACTAACACAGTCTACCAGACAACTAACACAGTCTACCAGACAACTAACACAGTCTACCAGACAACTAACACAGTCTACCAGACAACTAACACAGTCTACCAGACAACTAACACAGTCTACCAGACAACTAACACAGTCTACCAGACAACTAACACAGTC